TATATATATATATAGATCCCTCAGATTGGAAGTTTAGATATTAGGCTACAACAATTTAATTCCGCAAAGAAAAATTGAAAATCACATGAGAGCCGAGAGATAGGCCCTGTCCTGTCTTGGGATATTACGATATCGAATGAATGATGAATGTACATACGAATAAAGTATGTATCATAAATCCAAATATTTAAATACTTCAGTAAAATTGTCCTGAGTACATTTATTTCTATATATTATAAATTTAACAGTTATCATAATTGTAAACATAACTTATTTTGTTTTTGATTATATAAAATTTATTTCAAAATATATATGGTTTATTAATTAATAGCAAAAGAAGAGTTTTCGATATATTTTACAAAAATAATATTGATTATAAATGTTGTTTTATTAAAATATTTCCATTTTAATATAGAGAAAATACGCAAGTTTTTACAAAACTTGCGTATTTTCTCATCATCATAATAAGAAATAATCGTGATAAGTGAATAGGAGCCTTAATATGTGTTATGAAAAATAAAATATGTGTAAGAAAAGAAACATTTGATATAAGATATTTCATTTTAATAAAAATATTCCATATAATGGAAATAAATGCAAAAACATGTGACAGTGAATTAACACTTTTTAACTTATGATCGCACAATAAAGATGAGTATATTACAGATATTGCCGTGCAAATAATACCATTTCATTGAATTTGCAGGCCGTGAACCATATACCGATGATAACAGTTTATGCAATCTTTGGAGGAATGTGTGCAACAGCGTGTGGTCTAATCGCTCTAATGATTCACGTGCAACGTGGTGCACGTAAAGCGATTAGACGTGCAGGACAGAACATTGAGGAGCCAGAAGTCGAGGAACATGAATCGACTCTGCTGGGCGCGGAGAGCCAAGAGATCGAAGAAAAGGAGTAATCCTGGCGACGAACACGACGCACCCGTACATAGCGCGCGTAAGACTTGCCTATTTTTACAAACACACGTCGGTTTTAGGCTTAGATGTCTTCCACATTTGGAAGTTAGAAGATCAATAAACGCGGGAGAATATGAGAAGGATTTTTTTACGATGCGATGTAGCCAGCTGTAGAGAATCACAGTACGAATGCACAAACAATGTGATTGTTCCGTCTGAGATTCGTTTCTTGCGAGACTGCTCATTGCTTATGCCCATAAGTTTATCTTTATGCCAAGGCAGATTTTTGAATAATCCAGTAAAAAATGATTCATAAAATTTGTATCAAATCGATACAATCAACTCGATGTCGATTGGACATTTAATTGACGATCATTTCTCACTGGAAGAAGTTTTTTCGTGAAACAATCATGTTACACGATATCATTTTTCGCATTTTTGTTTGAGTGTTCGATTAACATGCTCGTCAATAATTAGCGAAGGTCCAATTATATTTGTTGCAACTACAGTATAGTTCAATTATCGACATAATTATATAACGGTATCGATATGGCGTTATCTTGCGATAATCGAACTAATTGAAACTAATCGAACTAATTGCTTGATTGTAAAGAAAGTTTTGTTATTTATTATATAAGTTTGCGATAAGGCACGGCAGGTTTTACAAACCCGCCATGACGGGCGCACAATTGTGTATGACAAATGACAAATTATACATATATACATATATATATATATA